TCCCAGAGAAAAGAACAGGTATCTTTGGCCAACTTAGAGAAAGGATCCGTCCCTAAATATGAGGAGATTTTCACATTGGGTTGTCCATTCATTCAGCCAGTTTCAGACCCTGATGACAAACCTGTAGAGTATGCACAGCTTCCGCTGAGTGACTGGGAAAGTTGAGGGAGAAAGGGAGGATGGACAAACTGTAAAGAATGTAGATCCAATGAGAAGGAAAAAGACTAGGAATGATAGAAAGAGGAAAGGAGTCATCCTCCTCCCAAAAGGGTATCCATTTTAATTAAGCTGTTTACCTGCAGTCGCCTTTTCATCTAAACATTAGCTTCTCCCATCTAAAAACTGAAATGCAGAATTAGAGATATTTCAAAATAAGATAAGTCCTCCTCATTCATTTATTCTCTAACATTACTTTATGGAGCCCCTCCTCCATGCCAGGCAGTTGGAGCAGTGGATGAAACAAAGATCCCACCCTGTGTAAAGTTGACGTCCTACTGAAGGGAGACACACAATAATCAATAAACAAAATAAATAAATAAAGTATAAAATGTGTAACAGAATGTTTTCAAAAGTTGGTTAATAAGGGAAATCAAAAGTATTGTTACAGGAAAAGGAAGAACAGTTGCAGTAGCAAAACATCCTCATTAAAAAGGTAAGGTGGTGTCCTCAAGTGGTGTTCAAAGTGCCCCTTTTAGGATCATTCCCTTCAGGTTGTTCTTGGGCAAATATTACCTCAAACACATTCCCTTTCAAGGTGTCCTTGGCCCTGACATCAGGTGCAGGAGGACAATGTCATCACCTCATCCTCAAGGATGGGGCCAAGGGAGACGCTGATATGTAGCAGGATTGCTGAATCCAACCAAGAAGAGGACTCTGTACCTTATTCTGCATGACTTATCCCCAGATAATCCTGGATGGAAAGGAGAAGGCAAACTCAACCTGAGGAAGCCAGTCCGTGGGAGTATAGACGTCAACATCAAGGTGCTTATAAAGACAGATGGAAAGAGGAGCCCACACTTTTTTCTACCCACATTTATCTTCACTGGCTGGGAAAGAGTTAGCCTAGCCAGGAAGATCCTGGGGGTTGAGGCTAAAAGAGTGTCTCTTTATCCAAAACCATGGATGAGGATGAGGATCGATGATGATGATGATGATGATGATGATGATAAAATAGTGGTGGTAGGGACCATGAAGATAATGATGGTAATGATGGTGATGGTGATGATAATGCTGAAGATGAAGATGGTGATGTGATAATGATGATGACGGTGGTGGTGATAATGAAGATGAGAATGGTGATGATGGGGATGATGATGATGGTGAAGATAATGATGGTGATGGTGATGCTGATGATGATGAAAATGATGATGATGTAGATGATAATGATGGTGATGGTGATGCTGATGATGATGAAAATGATGATGATGTAGATGATAATGATGGTGATAGCGATGCTGATGATGATGAAAATGATGATGATGTAGATGATAATGATGGTGATGAGGATAAGGGTGGTAATGAGACTGATAATGATGGTAACAATAACTATTACTATGTATTATGCTCTGGGCCAAGCACTTTATGAATACTAAACAATCAGCTTACACGACAAACCAATGAGAACAATATTAATATCATCATCCCCATTTTACAGATGAAGACATTGAAGCTTCTGAGTTACTTATCTTTGTCTCATGAAAAATAAGTGGGCAAAAGCCAGATTTAACTGCATAACATCTGGATTCCAAAATGGAAGCAGGAGAGTATTGACGGGAATGGAGATACACCATCTGGTAAACCAGAAAAGAGAGGCAGAGTAGTTGGCCAAACCAAAGAGTCACCAATAAAAGAAAAACTGTAATATTAGATACATGATGTAGTTTGGATATTTGTCCCCTCCAAATCTCATGTTGAAATGTGATCCCCATTGCTGAAAGTGGACATGGTGGGAGGTGTTTGGGTCATGGGAGTAAAATCCTCATGAAGGGCTTCATGTCCTCCTCATGGTAATGAATTCATTCTAAGTCTATCTGTTCACATCCGAGTTGATTATTAAAAGGAGGCTGGTACCTCCTCCCCTCTCACTTGCTCCCTCTCTCACCTGTGCCATACCCGCTACCCCTTTTGCCTTCCACCTTGACTGTACCTTCCTGAAGCCCTCACCAGAAGCAGATGCCAGCACTATAGTTTTTATGCAGTCTGCAGAACTGTAAGCCAAATAATTTTCTTTATAAATTATCCAGCTTCAGGTATTCCTTTATAGCAACACGAAATAGACTAATACCATACGTGTTTGCTGCCCTTCCTACTCCTCCCGTTTGCCAAGGATACACGTTTTCTGAGTCTAAGTCGTGAGTGATAGGAGAGGCAGATTACAGAAGTCAGAGGGACAATGTTAACCTAAAATTATAAATTGAAGCAAGTAGGTTAGCAAGACCACAATCCACACCATGGCTGAGCTGAGAGTTAAAAGTTCTGGATTTGAGAAAGTAGAAGAGAAACTATCTTGAGGACCAATATGACAAGGGAAAGAGGGAGAGGAGGCTAGGGTAAAGGTCTGCTCTAGGTCGTAGATGGAATCTTTCATGATGGCTGTTGATAAACTTCAGTAAAGATGTGAACCAAGTCTTCTTAATTCGACTTTTCTTTCACTGTTGGGGCTCCTTCCTGGTGTGATCCATTTGGGGAAGATGGAGCCTCTCAACTAGATCTCTGCATTCAGTTCCCCCTTGCCATTCCCCTCATTCTCTATTTTTCACTCTGTAGCCAGAATGATTTTTTAAGATACACATGAGATTGCATCATTACCCACAACCCACACTTTAAAACCTAGGCATCATGAGAGATTCAAACTCCTAAACATAGCTGATAAGGTTCTCTGTGCTCTCACCCCTGTTACCTCACCCACTTTATCTCCTTGTCATTTGATCTCTTATCATTCTTTAACCACTGCCTCCTTTTGAATGCACCTTGCTCCCGGCCACCCAGTGCCTTTGTATGTGTTATTTCCTTTGCTATTTGTTAATTCCTATTCACTTTCCACATCTCATCTCAAACATCACCTCCTCAGAAGACTCTTCCTTGGACACCCACTCAATAACCCCAGACTACAGCAGGCCTTCCTGTCTCATTACCCTTATATTGCTTTTTCATGGCATTGTTATCACACTTTATGTAATTGTCTCTATTTGCAGATGACATGATTGTATATCTAGAAGACCCCATCGTCTCAGCCCAAAATCTCCTGAAACCGATAAGCAACTTCAGCAGTCTCAGGATACAAGATCTATGCTCTTCTCAACCTCTTCCCTGTAAATCCCATTAAAGCAAAATAGTATTTCGGGCACGATTGTGTATTCAAAAATTAGCACAATGCCTAGCCCCCTTCACACCCAAAGAATGAGAAAAATAAAATGGGAAGAGTGGCCTCAGGTTTCCCGTCTTAACCTGGGCTTTGAGAAATATAGATATCCATGGGGGTGCTCTTGGTTGGTGTGGGTAAAATGAGGTCTTTGCTGAGAAACACTATAAGCCAACAATGCAATGGCTGCTGCAGGGACATAAGCTACATATGAATAAAACATACTTTAGAATATGAGAAAATTCATGTCATATAACAGAGTAACACTCAAGCTCTGAAGTCAGGCACACCTGGTTTCTATACCACTTCTTTCATTTAACTAGCTGTGTTGACCTTTGGCAGGTTACAAAGGTGATCTGAGATACCATATTCTATTTTCTTCTTATGAGACAGAGTTTCACTCTTGTTGACCAGGCTGGAGTGCAATGGTGCGATCTTGGCTCACTGCAACCTCCGCCTCCTGGGTTCAAGCAATTCTCCTCTCTCAGCCTCCTGAATAGCTAGGATTACAAGCACCCGCCACCACACCTGGCTAATTTTTTTTAATATATTTTTACTAGAGACGGGGTTTCACCATGTTGGCCAGACTAGTCTCTAACTCCTGACCTCAGGTGATCCACCCAAAGTGCAGGGATTACAAGCATGAGCCACTGCGTCCAGTCCTAAGACTCGATAGTCTCATCTGTAAAGTGGGGCTAATGGTCGTCCAGACCTTACTGTCTTGTTGCAAGGATTCAATGAGATAACATATATAAATGGCTTAACACAGCTCTTAGGACATGCAAGACCCCATTATTAATGGTAGCTATGCCAAACCAGATCATCTACATCAGTACGGTCCAAAAACTTGTAGCAACAATGGAAACCTTATTCTGCGCTGTCCAATATGATAGCCATTAGCTACCTGTAGCTATTAAGCATTTGAAGTATGACCAGTGTGACTGAGGAACTTAATTTTCGGTTTATGGCTAGTGGCCACCCTATTGCACAGCATACCACTCTAGACTGGAGTCTTCATCCACTGGTTCTGGGGGTGGTGCTGTCCCAGGTGCTAAAATTCTAGTTGTTCCGATCACTTGTTTGTTTCACGGGCAAAGGAAGCACTCCTTGGTAAATACCTCTGAGTAGCTTCCATATCACTACATAACTGCTGTTCTGGGGCTTCTTGGAGAAGCTTGACATAGCCACAAAGAGTGAGCAATACGTCTTTCTTGCCCCTCTATAATTCCACATTCTCATGATAATAGCTAGTACTTACTAAGCTCTTGCTCTGTGACAAAGTCCACTTTAGAGGTTTGTCTCACTTAATCTGCTTGAAATTCTATGAAGTAGACCCCATTACAATTCCCATTTTGGAGGAGCCTATTTAGAGGTCCACGACTCATAGCAGTCAATCCTGGATTTGAATTCAAGTAGCCTGAGTTTGGAATCTGTGCTGTAACCACCAGCTAGACTCCTTCCTGGTACTACTAGGGTCCAAGTTTTAAACAACAGAAATGAACTCTATTTAACTTAGCCAGTAAAGGGATTATTAGAAGATTCCCCAATAGCTCACAGAATCAAAGAGAAAATTAGACATTGGAAAATGGGGGAAAATAATCAAGGGAAACTAAGTGGTCAAAATCATCTAAACTCTCACCCTTGGAAGAGTCCATTAAGAGTGCCTCCACTTCCTCTGCAGCTTGTTCTTTATGTCGGCAGCCCCAGATTCAAGAACCTAGAAAGAAACATATTATTAGCTGAACTTGAGTCTAAAAAGCCCACACTCTATCATCCAGAGATCATGGGAAGCAAATTCCGGTCTTCTAGGTTCCACAGCAGAAGCTGCCGCCAAGTATCTCTTCAAGATCGGCTGTCAATGATTCCCTAAACATAGTGAATGGGTTAGACGTTGAGCAGATAAAAAATTATAAACATTCACTACCCATTGCCCTTACCTACAACCTTATAAATGTTGTCATTAATAGTGTGTTTTTCTTTCCAGGCTACAAGGTATTGCTTCTAGCCAAGTAAGCATAATCAAAGTCCAGGCTCCTCATCTGGGTATCTTGAAAACTTAACAGAAAGTGTCATTTGGGATTTTTTAAAGAGGTTATTTGCCATGCTCCAATCATTCAAGTACTGCCTTCACAGTTTTCTGTCATATTGGTGCATCACTGCTCTATTATTTGCTTAATATTTCTCTTCAAACAGAATCTACATTTTACTTGATTCGTTTTAAAAGGAAACTTTATATTACTGCTGAGAACATGAGGTTAGCATACTAGCTAAATTTGGTCTCCTAATTGTCATTAAAATATACATAAAATTCTGAATGTTTTTTAAGTTTATTCAGGAACCATCTAAAAGCATCCTCTGCTCCAGAGACACTGCTGTAATATAAATAACCACCTTGCAGTTTTCCATAAGGCTGCAGTGATGTGAGATGGACAGTGATGCCTGGAGAGAACAGAGGAAGCTCAATTTTCACCACCAGAATTCAGAGTCGGGGACCTCTGGGAAATCTACCTTAGCATTCTCTCTTCTTCCTTGTTTGACCTTAATCAAGTTCCATGGTTCTTTTGACTCTTGGTCCACTCAACACCAGCACTTGAGTAACAAGCATGTAATGCAACACAGCATCTGCTTGCATCGAAGACACACTGTCCTCTCCACTACCCAAAATGCTATTTAGGATTCACATTTATTTCCTCCTAAGAAACAGAAATCAAAGTCTAGTTTCTCTTACACTTTCTGTGTACTGCTTCTATCCCAGACCCAACAGAGTGACAGGCTAACCAAATAAACACAAAATCAAACAAACATGAGCCTTCAAAAAAAAAGGAGGTGAGGAGCAAGGGGAGGTGGGGAAAAGAGGCAATTCTGTTCAGGAATAGACTCTTTTCTTTCCAGAGAAAGCAATGAGAACATCTATTTACACAACATGGATCCACCTAGGACTACCTTTGTCCTGCAAGGATATAAATGCTGCATTAAAACTACTTTCTCTTTGCACAGAAAGTCCTGTAAACATACCTGCTGTGAATGCAAAGCGAAAAACCCAGCTGGAAGGAGAAAGGTTGGAGAAACCTGTGAAAGAAATGTTAGACATCTCTGCCCTGTGCACAGATTTGCTCTCTCCTCATCTTTCTCTCTTTCTCCTCGACTACTCCTCTTCTCCCTTCTTCCCCCTCCTTTCTTCTTTTCCTCTTTCTCTTCTTTCTCCCTTTCCCTTTCTTCCTCCTTCTCCTTCTCCTTCTCTCTCTCTCTCCTCCTCCTCATCTTCTCTTCCTTCCTACTTCCTCTGGAGGAGATGAGAGCAGGCGGCCAGAATTCATGGCCTGGAGAATTCTGGATCCCACCAACAAAGACACTGTCTTGGAACAAGAGCTGCCATGCTGGTTTTCCTAAACTGAAGAAACTGCTCTCCACATCTCTGATCTTCCACCGAAGAAGTGGGAAGACCACAGGAAATTCTTTCAGAGCATTTAGCCCTAAGTTCCCCTGTTTAATATAGTTGACTGAATTCATTAATCAATTAATTAGTAAGTCACAGTGCTCCAGACTAATACATATGCCAACGCAGCAAGAGACTGGAAAGGCACAGGAGGAATGAAGAAAGTGAAGGGGGCGTCCTCTGCAATACTGGAGCATTTACTTTGAGTGCAGCATAAGTTCAGCAAACATCTGTTTATTCAGAATATGAGCAACTTTCTCAAAGTAACCAGAAAGGTTTCTCAGAATTTTAAAAGAACAGTTGATGCTCTTAACCATAACACGCTCAGCGCTTATGAGATTTTGAAGTGCTCTCTGAATCAAAAGAAGATCTTTCCCCCCTAAGGAGTTTTACAATAAATTGTGTTCCAACTTTCTAAAAATGAGCTGAAAGTATATGTTTTCCAGGGCAGTTCCCAGTTAAGTTGGATATTCTATTCACCAGATAACCCACTTCTCAACCATTCCAGGTCACGTGAGCCAAGGAGATGGGGAAAACAAGATGGAAACCATCATCCTGGGCTTATGCTAGGAAGGCTGTGTTGTCGTTTAAAGAGCACTGATCTTTGAGTCTAGAAAACTGCGTGGAAACCCCAGCTCTTTGGCTTACCAGAGGGGCGACTGCGCAAGCCTCTCAGAACCTCAGCTCCCAATCTGTATAGTGAGAAAGTCACTTTGTCTTTAGAAAGTGGCTGTGAGGGTGAAGTAAGAAAGGGTGTGTGTGAGCGCTTTGAATGTCACAGAACAGTACTCAAATGCAAGGAACAATTACTGTCATTTATAACACACTCTCAGCCTTAAGTTATCCTCATTCTTTCCTCTCTTTTTCCTTCTCTCTCTCCCTCCTGGGGAGCATAATAATGTCTGTGGTAACTATTGCTTACGAAAATTACATCTCTCCATTAGTTCTCTTTACAGAATAAATTCCATTGAAATCCATTAAAATACTTTAGACAACATGCCTACCTTAAAGGTGTTGTTAATTGCGATTTTATTTCGAGATGTGAGTCTCAGGGAAACAAAGGCTAGGCTTTAGACATTTGATACTACACTGGATTTTGTTAGACTTAGGCCACTCCTTTCAAACTGTCACCAAACAGAAAGACAGGGAAAGACAGCTGGACAATCAGCAAATGCCTAGCAGTTAATCCAATGTCAAGATCTCTAATTTGTTTATAAAAGTGGTAAGGAGTTGAGAAGGGAATGTTTTGTCTGAAATTAAGTATCCACCCAAATGGCAAGTTTATACTCTGCTTAGTCTCAAGATATGAAAATGCCTTAAAAGCTTTTCAGATTATTTCTTGAATCTTTAGGAAATGAGCCTCTGATTAGATGGATGGATGGATGGATGGATGGATGGATGGATGGTTGGATAGATGGATGGATGGATGGATGAATGGATGAATGGATGGATGGATGGATGTATATATAGATAGATTAGACAGCTATTAGACAGAAATAGATTAGATAGATAGATAGACAGACAGACAGACAGGCAGACAGGCTGGGCACAGTGGCTTACACCTGTAATCCAAGCACTTTGTGGAGCCTGGGTGGGGGGATCACTTAAGGTCAGGAGTTCAAGACCAGCCTGGCAAACATGGTAAAATCCCATCTCCACTAAAAATACAAAAATTACCTGGGGTGATGGTACGTGCCTGTAAACCCAGCTACTTGGGAGGCTGAGGCATGAGAATCACTTGAACATGGGAGGCAGAGGTTGCAGTGAACCAAGATTGTGCCACTGCATTCCAGCCTGGGTGACAGAGTGAGACTCTGTTGCAAAAAAGATCGATAGATAGATGACAGATAGACAGACAGACAGATAGATAGATAGACAGATAGACAGACAATAGACATCAGTAAATAGATACAGAGATAAATTCAGATGTAGAGATGAATACATAGATGAATTAAATTCAGATCAAGTATTTCTCCTGTCCATTAGGGCATGCAAAACAAAGAGACTTAAGAAAAATATGCAATATGGCTGAAGGAAACCAAAAAAATCATCTTATCTCCCCTTCTCATTTTTAAAAGGTAAAGCACTGAAAAGGGGCTTAACTTATCCCAGGTCACAAACCCAGTACTGCAGCTGTTATTGCTAATAGCTGATGTGCATTAGACACCTACTGCATACCAGGTTTTACACTAAGCTGTCTAAGTGTAATATCCCATTTAATCTTCCCAGGACAATCGGATTGCTGGTCTTACTAATTAGAAAACTGAAACTCAGAAATGGGAAGCAATTTGTCCCAGGTCACTCAACTGGTGAGATGCACAGAGAGACTTGAAACTGGAGGAACACAGTAAGCTACCCTGAACCTAAGACTCCTGGTTTCCAGTGTAGTACAAGGTCCCTTTATATATTTCAACCTGAAATTTTAACCCAAAATATTTCTTTCCTTCCACTGGTAATTGGAAATTCACTTTTGTAAATGAACTTACAAAAAAGTAATTACCTTCCCAAATTGCACATTCCCTTTTTTCTAGTGAAAGCTATTGCACACACTGAGGACTCGTTCAGCTGGGGCCGGGCTGCCCCATAAATAAGTCATGCCTGGGTTGATCCATGTGGCTGTCACTGTATGTATAATAGAAGAGCCAGTGTCAGGGAGCAGCCGACACTCACCTCCTTGCGTACATGTTTCCAAATTGCCCTTGACAGGTTATGAGCAGAGCATTTCAAAGGGATGCATTAAATACAGCACAAGGGCTTTGAGAGTCTGCCTTTCTACATCCTGGGGCTGGGACTTTGATTTCTTCCAATTCCATTTGGTTTTCCCCTTCCTACCAGAAGGAAGGAAGCTGAGAGCAAGTCCTGGGGCAGCTGGTCTGGCTGCAGGGTTACTCTCCTGGCCTCTGAATATTAGAACAGAACTACGAGTTGATGAGGTACCTGGTATCTGAGGCTAAGAAATATGGGTTTAAATCCTGGCTCAACTGTTTACTAGCCACATGGCCTTCAGCAAGTTTTTTGGCCTCTCACTTTTTCAACTATAGAACAGAAATAATAGCACTCACATTCAGAAGGTTATAGTGGGGATAAAATAAGCTTCTTAACAATAGTTAATATTTATTCAGTACTCATTATGTATCAAACACTTTGCTAAGCACTGAACATGTGTGGATTACTTATTTAATTCTCATAAAGAAATAGGCTAGATTGTTATCTCCATGTCACAGATGAGGAAACTGAGGCATAGAGCTTTTCTGTAACTGCCCCATTGT